CAGTCAAATAGTCTCAAGATGCTTTACTTTCCCACGTCAAATTATTCCATTCAATTCGCTACCTGCATTTTTATAAGCATACTTTTTACCAAATGAATATTAGGCTGTAATAAAAAGTATACTAATCAGTTTCTTAGTATATTAACGAACAATAATTATATTTTTTATCGCCAAACCTGCACACTAATTCTCTTGAAGAACGCAAGAAAGACTACGAGAACAACACCAGGCTGTCCGCTGTCTCTCCCATCTTTCCCACCTCCCACACGCCAGGACTCGACTATGCTCCCAGGCATCAACATCGCGCATCGGGGAGGTCACCCTCGAAGCAGAGACGCGAGCGGTGATCACAGGCCCAGAAGCACGTTTGTTTTAGGAGAAGGAAGCTTGCGAGATATGAGATTTCAATGAGGCTTGATGAATATGGATTTTGGAGCATTTAGCTGGTCAAAGGTAATGTTTTATTGGATTCATCTAGCATTAAAGGAAATGTATAGCTTCTCTGAAAGTGCAAATGTAAAAAATTAAAAGATTTATTTGCTCAACTGATTGATTTTGTTTTGAGTTTTGAAAGAAACTTGCAGGTGTTATCAAAGTTATTTGCTTCTGGCAATTAGCATCCAATCCCATTCAACGTTATTAATTTATTTTATAAAAACTTCAAAAATGCATCGTTAGGCTACTTTATGGGTGGCCCGTCGACCCTCTCCTTGCTCTGGTTTAAGGGGTGTCGGACCAATTGTTTGTGGATACCTGTGTTAGTTACGATTAGTGAGTCCAGTCACGCTAGCATTTGTGGATGCCTGCACGGTCATTAGTATGCTAGTGATTAGGATGCTTTTATGTTTACCCAATTTACAGTCTGCTGATCATAACGTGCGTGCCATCACCCGTACTTAGAATCATTAAGTCATAGATTATTCGTCTGGAAAGTAATGTGTCATCATGCGCACAATATCGAGAATTTTAGTATGGCATTCTTCCCTTCAGACAAGGTTGCATTACAGCTTTGGCACGTGACTAGAAAGATCTTCTCTCAACATCAGTCCTCGTATACGACGAGTAGTGCTGAAAAATGAGGCAAATGTAGGCATGGCTCAGGAATACTCTTCCACGGGATTGTCATGCTTTCTACGATTGCAAATCCGGGAGTATCCAGGGGTACTTAACAGATTTTAAGATAACGTGCATGTGCTTTTTTTAAAATTTCATTGTGTGTGAAGGAGTTCGCATATCGCCTATGCGTAGCTGATTTAGCATTTTTTCTTTGCAGTCCAAAAAAAACGGTTAAAAACTGTATGTGAGGTATGGTGAGGGAAAGGATAATTCTGCGGCAGGTTTTCCTGAGTTCCCAAAATCATCCCTTCCCATCATTTTAAATCTAAATATTTGAAAGATGAGTAAAAGTTAAAAATAAATAAATAAAAATACAATTTAAAAGAAGCTCGGGTAAAACTGTAATTGGGATTCCTTTCTGCGGGGCCGGCAAGGAGCACCGAACTATCGGGTAGAAGGGCGCCTAAAAAGCATGGACAACACAACGAGATCACACTGGCGTCGGAGAATCTGAAGTTACGTCTGGCTGCACCCACTTCTCCAGATTTAGATAACGTGCGGTCTGAAGCACTCCCACGGAGGTATCGTGACTCGTAACTCAGGAGGCGCTGAAAGCCAAAGATAATGCTCTGCCCCTGGGCACCCGAGCGCATCACAGTGGACGCTGCACGAGTCATCCCAGTCTGCAACACTCGTCAAGGAGCTTCGATTGAAAGCGCCCAACACGTGCTCTAGGAGAGACTCAACGTGTAAATAAAATGAGTCCGAATATATTAAGAATAGAAACCGCGTTTGGGATTGACGTGAAGTCATCAAGGTTTTCAAGAAGCAATCTATCATTCAAATAATTGTTAAAGTTTGCTCATTCATGTATTTAAGAGACCAATGTTTAGAGGTGGTTGCACTAGGAAATTAAATTCCAGTCGTAAAATCCATGTTACAAAATACACCTACCAGATTTAGCTACGTCTACTTATAAACAGTTCCCCCTAAGTGACTGCAAACATATGAATCCCCAAGGCAAATAAATAATAATTTAGGAGAGAAAACGACACCTTGCCCTACACGTCACACATTAGACATCTTGTTTAGAATGTTTTGGCCACACGAACACACACTGTTATTTTTCTGCTATCCATTAGGGCACAAACTTAGCGTTAAATTGTAATTTCTCCATGCTAAGGTTTTGAATCTCTGATAAAATAAGGGTATATAGAATTCTTTGACTTTTATATCCATTTAGAAAAGCTTATTATATATATATATATATATATAAATTGCATTATTTCTTACACACATCTCATGTATAGACATATTTACACTATTTTTTTGCAGTTCCGATTAATCTACATACTTTTGAAAAACAACATTTCTGTGCGAGAGTTTCTGACAATCATCTCACATAAATGCTTGTTTACAGAAAAGAATGTGCTGTATATTTTCCCCAGAACGAGAACAGGAAATCATAAAGAGTTACCTTCACTGTATTCACTAATACCTTAAACACAAAACTCAGTTTGCTAGCATAGCAGTCATTAGCAATAAAAGCCTTTTAACGACTCCGATATTTGCCGGACACGAATATATCAGCAAAACCTCTGGAACTAAGAACATTACCTGTCGCACTAATCATAGCCTAGCGAGCAAGCCGACCACTTCGGTTCACGCAACCTCTTCAGGCAGGCGAATAAACGCTTCGGAGGCCGACGGAAAAACATGACTGTCGCGACGCGAAGATCAGGAGGCATTTCGGCGCTTGAAGACGAGGGTGTAGACTTCAACAAACGAAATTCTCTTTAAACATAAAAATTACTTCCACGAAGTGGCACAAAGGAAATTACAAATTTAATTAATATTAAACTTGAAATAAGCAGATATTATACTGCGGATTTACGAACTGTAGTGTTACCCTCTCATCTGCAATATCCCTCTGCCGCCCCTAAGAAAGTATTGAAGATCGCTTTTCGGGTCTCTCCAGAGAATTCAAGACGTTTTCAGAGCGTTTTCTCAATGAAAAATACTCTAAACTGTGGAAATATGTCTATTTATAGGCGTTTTATTGTGAAATTGTAAAACAATCATTTCTATTGCGTTTTCTAACAGTACCTCAGAATGATGAAGTACTTTTTAACGCAGCCAAGCAAAAAATTTAAATCGCACTCTAGTGCAATTAAGAGTATATGTGCCATTTCCATAAAACATAACAATTAACACAATCACTGCAGTAGCAATTGTAATTCTAAAGAGATTGTAATATTTGATAACTATATAAATTCGTATCAGAAGACAGGAAAAATAAATTAAAATTTCGCAGAGGACTTCTAGTACAATTTCTTTTCATGCTAGAGTAATGTGAACTATTTTTTCCCACGAGGCTAAGTTAGACGCCGACGATTGCTGCCTGGTCCACTTAAGAGGATCCGTGGCTGCGGCGCGGGGGTGGGGGTGGCGGCGCGTCTGTGTGGCGACAGCTGACGGGCGGGCGCCGCTCCTCAAAATAAGCCTACCGTGGGACGGGCAAAAACTCGACAAAAATCCCCTCGGCGGGGCGCATCCCTGGGTCGGGCGGGCCACCGGAGACAAAACAACATCGACCCTGCTATTTATTTCCTAACGGGCCGGCGACGACTGTGGCGCCTCCACCGCGCTCTCTACCGGCGCTTCGCCGCAATCCAGTGCTGCGATACGCTCGCTTTTCTCGTTGCGACCCGTTCATAATCTCCATACAAACGAGTAGCTTCAAGTACTTGAAGGAGCGAATTATTCTCTTAATGGAAGCTCGTGTTGGATGCAATCACTGATGAAATTGATATTAAATTTAATGGAGAATAATTAAATTGTATTGACACATTTCTGAAATTAAATATATTACAGTAATGAGGAAACGCATAATCAGAACGCCGAATTGTCATGCCATATTATAAGTTATATTCGCGGAAATTTTGAGATTTTGGAACTGAAAATAAATGCTTTTCTTTCAATTCACTGATTCATAATATTAAATCTCACGACAATAAATCATTTTATCTATTTATTTTCTTTAAATTTTATTACAAATACTTATTTTTGTACAACTTTTATTACAATAAATTGTTCAAGTTTCTTGAGCACCCCAGTGAATAATAGTTTCTCAGTTTATTAAACTGATAGTGTACTCCGCAACCTTTTCAACTACTGCTTACTTCGACGATTTCAGACCTTCGTCCAACATCAAGCAGGGGACATGCTGGGACTGCCGGGCGCATTCCCACATCGCCTCTCGGTGCACGCCACGCCACGCCACGCCACCCACGCCCCGCCCCGGCCCCGCCACCACGCCACGCACGCCCGCCCCGCCCGCCGCGCGCCCCGGCCCACCCCGCCGCCCCGCCCCCGCCCGCGCCCGCCGCAGAGGGTGCGGCCGCAACCTCAGGCCGCTGTCGCTTCGCTGTCGCCGGCGCCGTCGGCCATCTGCCGCCACCCTCACGGCGCCGCCGCGGCCCCTGTCGGCGTCCTGTCACGCCCGGGCGGCCAGCGCCGCTCCCGCTCCCCCCCGCAGCCCCACCATTTCCCCTGTCAGCGCCCACTCTGCGCCGCCTCCTCCCGCCCCCCCTCGTGGCACATGCGGCCCGGCCATTACCCTCTGCGGCCGCCGCCCGCGCGCGCCCCGCCCGCCCCGCCGCCCCCCCCTTTCCGCTTCCGACGGCCCGCGGCTTCCAAAGTCCCTTTTCTGTCGGCTCTCCCCATTTGGAAGACCCGAAGATTTTTAGGAGGGAGGGGGTCCCTCGGAAATTTTTGGGGGTAACCTAATGACCAGTATACTAGTTTATTTTTCTGCGTTTGCCCCCACCCCGCCCCGCACTCGCATCCGCCACTACCCGCTGCCTCCTCCTCCCTTTCCGTTTCCGAAGGCCACTTCCAAGTGCCCGGTTCTTCTGTTGGCTGTTCCCGTTTGGACGATCCTCCATGCCCCATGTTTTTTGGCGGGTGTCCTAAGGACGGTTTGGGGCTATCGACTTACGCATCCGACTTACAATGCACTTCGTCACCCGCTTCATATGCTGTCCACCTTCTTTACCGGGTCTTAAGCTTGTTATTGACACCTGAACGCGCTTCGAGACAATAGAGGATTTCCTGCCTCAGTAGCGTTGCGTTGACGCCCCGATAGCGGAAATATCAAGCCTCGGCAGTATGAATATCAACCCTGAGAGAAAAGCTATCACTTCTAGTGACAACACCTTCGTTCTTGTTGCTTCTGCTGTAACTACGAGTACTATCCGCATCGTTATTTCCATGTTTGATTATATTGAACCATATAGCTTCTCTCTTGACCTCTAATTTCGACACCTCTTCTTGACATCTATACATCTTTTCTTGATTTCTCACTCACCGTTTATCTATCATTTCGTGTTTCCTCCCTCCCCCTTGCCTCTCCTCTCTCTATCATTCTCAGTCACACTCACACACATGATTGATATATTTTCCTTCCACAATCACCAGGGAGGTCCCTTCTACCATCACTGACTACTAATCCACACCACTCAGGTTCAGATGCACTGCTTTCTAACAACCGCCTGCAGCACCACAGTCGTCTCCACTACCGCAGATCCTGGAGCCACAGCACGAGCGGCTGCATTGGCACGCGGCATGTGCGTGGGAGGGGGACCCATCCCTCCGCGACTCCTCACTTCCAAAGCGCCGCCAGCCGCCTACTTGCGCGGCCAGGGAACGAAAATCTCTCAAGTCTGGAAGCTGCGCGAGGAAATTTCTGAGCGGCGCCCGCTGAGTGGATCTATTTGTAGCGCGCGAGGGGAGGGGTGGCGAGAGGTGATGGGGGGGGGGAGGTCGCCCTTATGAATAAGAACATGAGTTTCGGGAGATCGAGCAGATGAAGGGAAGCTGGGAGACGACGACGCCCCGTGTCGAGGGAAGGAATAACGAATTACAGCTTCCGATGCAAACTCGCACCTCCGCCGAGCAGAAAGTTCGATCACGAAACGAAACTTTGATCCTGAGAAGCTCTTTCCATTGAAATACGATTCGTTCGTACTTGGAAAAAGTTTAACGAGGTTGTAATGTGAAAATATATTAACAATCAAGCGAACGATAACTATGGATCGATCGATAATATTGTAAAATATTTTATAAGTAATTACTATAAACATAGCTAAGTTGAGCTGTATTTAAGACACAATTATTGTTTATTACTGCGTAAGGTTTCTCAGTGCTTGTAACTTTATACAAACTTTTTTGCTTAGCATGAAAAACATCTTGCACAAGAATTTAAAATTTTAAATAGAACAATATTTTTCGATCAAGAAATACATGAATTACATTGAATAAAAATGATTTTATTATACTATTGACCAGATACTCATTGACAAAATTATAATCCCGCATATCTATAAATATATTAAAATTACAAATTTATCGACATATTAAGTGTTTCAGTCACACAGTAAATATCATCGATGCAGCAGGCATTGCTTTAGGAGGATTTTCTATGTGATGGCAGATAAGTGTAAGATTTTACTTCAACATTAACGGAAGGAAACAGATGGTCAAAGTCACTCGAGAGGATTAGAACATGCTTCCGGATGACTGTTCATATGTGTCAGCTTGCAGTTCAAGAGTGTGTCATGAGAGCCGTAACTAATATGCGAGTCGCACTGAGAACAATAGCTTATTAACGAGTTGCCACAAGGATGCTCTTATGCGAGCACATGCTGAATGCAATTGTAGAGGTGGGTCGCGAACTGGAACTTTGCCATGGTAGCAAATTTCATTCTAAGCAACCGGAATTCGTTAATTCATGATCGCCGTTGCGTGAAGTTAAACAAAACAAGAAATGTTTCGCAAAACGACAATGCAGGTTTTCTGCCTTACGGCACATCATTACCCATATATTCCGTTTGTCAGTACTACTTATTAGTTCTCTTGCCACTTTTCAGTGAGATTAAATATCATTGACAAATTCAAGAGTTTACACTTCTTTATAGTGGCATGTCAGATACCTTATTTAATTCGTGGAGGACAAAATCATTGTACTTAGTTATGTAAAGAAACAAAACAGAAATTAAGGAAACATTATATATTATACAATTATTTATAAATATGTAAGAAATCGTGTAAGGCAATTAAAGTAACACTTTACCGTACAATGTTGAGCAATTGAAAACGTTTCAAAAATATCCACAAATGCCTTTATTCTTCTGCAATTACAAATGCCATTCAGAATTGCATTACTTTCACATAAACTAAAATAAGATTTTGTAGTAGTAACCATTCATCAACGAACTCATTACGTTCCTAATTTACAACAAAGAACAACATAATTTATTTTTGTAAACGTCTATGAGCCACTAC